CGTATTGAGTGAAGATCTTCAATAGATGTTTTATAACCGTAGCAGCCGTGATGTTCTTCACTGGAACTGCTATGGGAAATCTGGTGGTAGGACACAGGATGGTTAGGATGTAGGCGTTACCTGAACTGGTCCGAGGTAAAGGACCAACACAGTCTATTATGAGTCTGTGGAAAGGTTCCGCAGGCACCTGTATGGGAATCAGTGGTGCTCTGGGAATGGAGACGTTCGGTTTGCCTGCCATCTGACATGTATGACACTGTTTTACGTACTGTTTGACGTTATTTACCATACCTGGCCAGTAGTAGTCTTGACGAATCCCATGGTAAGTCTTGTTGAAGCCGTAGTGGGAGAATGCTCCGTGGGCCAGGTGTAGAATAGTGGGCCGCAGGCTGGTGGGAATCACAAGTTGTTCGATGTTGGCCCAATCGTCCTCCTCCTTCAGTTTACTGGGTCTATATCTGCGGTAGAGCAAGTCGTTCTCTAGGAAGAACCCAGGAATACTGTCGGGTTGAGTCTCAGCCTGGAAAAACAATGGTGTTAAAGTAAGATCTTCCCTCTGCAACTTACGGAACTCCAACTTGGTCAGATGCGGGGGGAGTTTCTGAGGGTCTTGAGGGACAGCGGTAGCAGTAGAGTCAGCTGGCTGTGGACGTGCGGCTTGTGCACGGGTGGTCACGAGAACCGGAGGAGAAACTTCATCACTCTCTTGAACCTCTGCTGGAACATACTCAAGAATAGGGTTTATTGGCACAGAGTTACACACCTGGGGTTTGTCCATGACGATCAGGTTGGTCGGTTGCAGGTCTTCTGCCAAGTCGTTGCCTAGGAGAAGTTGCACTCCAGGCATGGGAAAAGGCTTTTCCCTGACGGCGACTTGGACTTCCCCGTTCACGTAGGGACAATCCAGGTGGACTCTGGCGAGAGGGTATGGAGTGGTAGCAGTGAGGTCAGTGATGAAGACTGTTTCCCCGGTGTAGACTATGTTGGGCACAGCCGACTTCAAGATGATCGATTGTAGAGCCGCTGTGTCCCTCAAGATCTTCAATTTGAAACGTCCCTCCGGATTTGAACCGTTGGCAGAGACAGTTCCAGTATACAGGTGGTTACTGAAAAGAGAAAGATCATTAACATCAACACCAACATTCATCACAGGCTTACCGGACTTAGGAGGAGTTGGTTTGGGTCGTTGTTGGTCAGTGGTTCCCTTGTATTGAGACTTACCACACTTGTCTATGGTATGTCCATAGAGTCTACAATACTTGCAGTACAGTTGTGAACCAGCTTGATCGGGGCTCACCTTCTCGTAACTGTACCACGACTTCTTACTGGAGGATGGTTCGGGTGTCAGCCGGTGGATGAGGCTGTAAGTGTCAGCCGACTTAGCACACTTCAGGTAGTCGGTTTCTTCTTTATCTGCTAAGTAGAGGCGGACAGGAGGCGGCACACGTCTCAAGAATTCTTCAACAAGCATCAGGTTGACGAGTTCTGTAAAAGTAGAGACATGTGCTGCTTCCAGCCATTTCATGAAATACCTCCGTTTCGTGTTAGCAAACTCGAGGAAGGTAGTGGTACTTGCCTTCAGGTGGTCACGGAATTTCCTTCTATAACTTTCTGTGGAAAGTAGGTAGGCGTCCAACACTGCTTGTTTCAGAGTGTAGTAGTCATTCTCAGACGCCAAAGTACTGAGTGTGACTGCAGCTCTACCTGTAAGATGGACTCTGAGAAGTGTGGCCCATTGGTCGACAGGCCAACTGAGTTGATTAGCAAGGGTTTCAAAGGTGGTGAAAAAACACATCAACTTCTGCTTCTACAAAGGATGGCATTAACTTACTTGCATGTGATATATTAAAACTGACGGGAAGATTGGCAGTAGCTTGCTGGCGTTGAGTGAAGTGGGAAGTTTCCAAGGCGATTTCACGTTGACGACACTCTAGAGCCAGAGTCGCTTGTTGCTTGTCATGTTCGCGTTGTATTTCCAACTCGCGTTGTTTGGTTTCAAGCTGTACTCGTTCACGTTCCTGGAGTAATGCGACCTCACGTTCTTGTTCTTCTCTCCTCAAAGCAGCTTCGCGTTCGTGTTCTTTCGTATGGCAGCTGCTTCTCTTTGCTGCTCACGTTCAATCTTGGCCAGCTCTAGTTTAAGTTTCATCGTTGCCAAGTCAGTTTTCTCTGCAATATAGTAAGTTTCATGAGTTTCAGAGTCTATCTTACCTTGCTCTAAATAGTAATCCAGCAACAGGTTGTGTAGGTCATTTTTGTTGGCTTGGTAGGGAACTTCTAGTTGATACTCATGTGCAAGAGTTTGTAATTCAGTCCTCTTGGCACGACTTAAAGTCCCTATTTCACCTGCTGGATTTGCACGGAAAGTTTGGAGACGAAACATGGTGAAATTAGCAAATAAAGGTACACGAATATTCAATAGTGAAATGTCAGAAACAGGACAACGTGGCAACTGGTACCTATCCTGTGTGATCTTTAACAATTAACGTTAAGTGAAAGATATTAAATGATTAAATTAAATCAAGGGCGCAGGAAATCTTGTACCCGGTACTCATGTAAGAGAATAAGGGCAAGAAAATCCTACTAACAAATGAAACAAAGTTTCGAAAACAAATGAAACAGTTAAATGCTTCAAAAGTAAAATTGGTAGTCCAAGGATGTAGGCATACCTTGCCAAGTCTCTATAGGACATAAAGCAAGTTTTTCCCACTGAATTTAATATGATACTTACAGAATTAGCGAACTTTTGTGCTCTGAAAAAATAAGCTAATTCCCTACCGTTGTATGTATCATCATCTCTGACTGACGTGTAGGGGTGCGAGGTGTCAACTGGTGACGAGAACTGCTGCTGAGGTCCCAATTCAGCAACTAAAGTTCGAGCTAGAGGAACTATGGCCCTCTTTGTCCTCCTACAGTCAGATTGCAGAAGATTGGGTACTCTTGACCCGGGGCAGACCACAGTACCAGGGTACCAATATGATGATCTGTCAGAATGAGAAATATTCAAGGGACATAGATGGTAAACACGAGTAATAACACGGAGGGAGAGATGACCAATTAAGAGTATGACTGCGGCCTACAGTCACCACGTAATCCAAAGTTGTCTCACCTTCACTATATGTTACTCTCGTAATGCACAATACACCGCACCTTATAAAAAATGAAATTGAATATGAAAAATAGTAAAGCTACGTTAACAAAGTTAAATACGCTTACCATAAATTACCACTTGGCACCAGTACCTGAGTGAAGCTCCTAGGACAGGCCCCCATATAACTTGTGACGGTAACGCGTTGGTGTTCGGCTGTTTAAGGCTAGGGGTATGGCCTCGTCACATAGTTATAAAAAAAAATAGAAAAAACTGGAACTTCGTCTGTGGTAAGGTAAGGAGAAGACACACAAAACACAAGTAAACTTTAACAATGAAATTTTAATTACGTTAATTAAATCAAAACATGAATAAAATGCACAAACAAATTCTTATAATAAAATCAATCAAAATAATAAGAATAATTAGATGACACAATGAAAAGTTACGTTAAGGCAAAATAACAAGAAGTGCAATACAAAGTAAATGGGAGGTGTTGGAATATTGGCTTTAAGCCACCACTTCTCTCAGTACACGCTAGCGTCTAGCCGGGAGGAGTGGTGACAACGAGAGCACTGAACATTCTGAGGTCTGAGGTTGGGGCGACCCCAGACATCAAGTAGTATGGGGGGGCGAGTGCAGGTGCAGCCAGACCGGCGACCAATCAGCGGAGCCGGTAGCGATCAACATGTAGTTTGGTGGTTTGAGTCCGAACAGGTGGCTGGCTGCATACGTTTGCTCACCCTGGCAAGCCTTGCTGGTGTTGTTGTTTCTGTTGGACATGTCTTCCATAGTCGTTTTATATAACCACAACGACGTAATTGTGGAGGGAAGAGCAGGCTCAATCTCTTGAAGGAGATTATCGTCACAATATATATATATATATATATATATATATATATATATATATATATATATATATATATATATATATATATATATATATATATATATATATATATATATATATATATATATATATATATATATATATATGATGGTAATTTTGGGGTATTTAAACCCCCCAAGGATCACTACCTCCCAAAGGCAACTAGAGCTAGTGAGGGGTTACTCATGTTCTTTCATCAAGTCCCTGTTAATATGGGAGAACACTGTGTCTATGCTGTGCATTAAGCATAGACACAGTATTCTCCCACTAGTACGCACAGCGTTTCAGGCAGGTCCTTAATCTAACAGATAATATCAAGTAGATAATTTCTAGCAAAATTTATAAAATGTTAACAGGTACATTGTAAGAAAATTCGACAAAGATTAGTAGGCACATTAGAGCACATTGATAGCTTTGATTGATAGCATTGATAGCTTGATTGATAACTTGACAAAAATTAGCAGGCACATTAAAACACATTGATAGTACATAAGATGATATCAATGATTACAATGGTAAAGTTGTATGGCTTAGGCACATATATTGGGGGATTGGGTAGCACTGGATACAGTGTGAGTTTAAACCACCAGGTGGGAACTATGAAGATGAAATTGGTACTTTTTGGTTTTGTTTTTGAATAAGGCAAAAGTTGGACAGCTTTTCAATTCGTTAGGGAGTGAGTTCCATAGACTTGGTCCCTTTATTTGCATAGAGTATTAACACAGATTAAGCTTGACTCTGGGGATATCAGAGATATTTATTTCTGTTATGGTGATTATGGGTCCTATTATTACCATTAAATTTTACCCCAGCATGAGTACCCAAAAAAAATTATTATGTCACTTGCTTAAAAAAAAAATGAAAAAATTTGGGGGTAAATAACAAAAATGGAAAATTTTGGTTCTGGAAAGAACTAATCTTGATTTTTTAGGGTTGCATGTACTGCATTCTTTGTCATCATTATATTTTAAGTATTGGAATATATACCTCAATTATTTTCATAGTACTGTTTCTGTCTTTCAGAATTTGGCAATACAAAAGGAGATCTTTGATGTACTCTGCCAGCTTGTCTCTATAAACGAGAGCCAGGTAAATCTTTTATTTATAGTGTTCCACAATCATTATTTAGCGAGTGTTCATAGCTGAAAATTATTGCTTCTTATCTTTCCCCACAGACCAGTCAGGTCACACACCTACATCCACGGCCCCCAGAGCCCGACCCTGTTCTGGTGGGCGGGAAATTTCTACCTGGAGTGAGAAAATGCCTGAGAACATCTAGACAGGCTATCACCCATAATTCACAAATATAGAAATTGCCCAATAAATGTTCATCCTACCCTAATTTTATCTAAAAGTAGCTTTTGGCCATCTGATAAATTTATATGGGTGTACATATGACTTGAAAGCAGGAAGAGGCATGTTAAAACAATGGCATTTATATTACCAGTGAATAACTCTACTCCCATATGGAATTGCGTAACGAATGACTACGCTAGTGAGTTTAATCCTCCGGGTTCATTCTTCTCTTCATGAGTTGTTCGTTAAATAAAACTTTTATTAGACAAAGCTGGGAAAGCTGTGCCATGATCATCTCTGGCCAGCTTCATGAGTGTTTTTACCCATATTGTGGAACAGGTTGAAAGCTGCAAGTGGTGTCTCAGGATACATGAAAGTATAGTACAGTATAGGGAATTTGAAAAGTAACTAAAATATAAGAAATCAGTAAAAGTGAGTGAAAAATTAGGCTTGATAAATTGGAAAATTCAAAACAGAAGTAAGCCAACAACAAAAATGGCCACCACCACAGCCATCTTATATCTGTTGGACAGCACACCAACAGATGAGAGAGTTGCCGATGGTCGCCCATCTTGGCGCGAGGGTTGAACACTCCCGGCTGGGCATTCTTTCCTCACTTCATCAGGAGCTCATCGTTGAATTCAACTGGCCTCTTTGGGCCAGTGTGTGCTCGCTTCAGTTACACTGGGGGCTCTCACAGTACCGGCAAAGGCCAGAGCCTTCCCTAATAAACGCCTCCCAGAGTGGGGGGCTGCATGGATGTTGATGGCAGGTCCCAGAGAGGCAAACATCTGTTGGAGAATGACCCAGAAAACACTGCCATGGAGTGAGATGCTGAGAGGATGTCATTGCCTTCAGAAGACCTTACCACAAACCCATGCTACCATGGTAATGTTACTATCTGACATTACCATGTTGGGGGATTGGTCTGTCAGGTGATGACAGATATTGACGCAGGAGGAGTCTCGGACCCGGTATGGGAAGATTGGGCCAATTGACCAGAGTGTTGAAGTGGATGACTTCCAGGCCACTCTGCAGTTGTTAGGGGTGCATTGGCGGGATTACCTAAAGTTACCAGGATTCGTGGAGCATCAGGGTCGACATCCATGGTTCGTGTTAAGTTCGATGGACTCCTCCCTGACCAGTTGGTGCTACACAGGACCCTGTATCAGGTCCAGCTCTACAACTTTCCTGTGTTACAATGCTATGGCTGCCATCTATTGGGCCGCAGTCGCCTCACCTGCTGTAAGGCAGCACGCTGTGTAAACTGCGGTAACACAGGTCATAAACAAAATAGAGAATAGCCTTGATAATTTGGAGAACCCATTACCTGATATTAACTTCCTAGGTGACTTCAACTTGCCTAGTCTCAGATGGAGAACAGCAAACAATAATATTATACCAGGAAATCTATCGGGATCTAACCAACCACAGATTAGAGAACTACTAGTATTGTACTTAGATTCCGTGACAAATTTTCACTCAACCAACAGATATCAGAGCCAACTAGAAATGAAAATACTCTAGATTTAGTCTTTACGAACAATGAAGACATAATTAGGGACATTACGATATCAGATACCAAATACTCAGATCACAAGCTCATTGAAGTGCAAACGACCATCAATACTTAGAATAGACCTAAAACGTTGATCAAGCGAGAGAGGTTATTCAGTAAATTCAATTTTAATAATAAAAGGTGACTGGGAGAAAATAAACAGGGGAACTTACAAACATTCCATGGGAAACTGTTCTAAGTAATACAAATCCTACAGAAGGAATTGAAAAGCTGACTTCGGAAGTGTATCCAGTCTGTCTGAAACATATTCCTTTGAGGAAAGCCAGAAAAAGGTCCAATGTAGAAAGAGAATGCAGACGACACTATAAAAGAAGGAAAAAAATAACAGAAATGCTTAAGCAGACACGACTTTCCCGTCAAAGAAGCAATAATTTAAATAGGGAGATTGAAAAAATCGAGCGGAAATTGAAACACTCATATCAAACTGAAGAAAGGCAGTTAGAACAGAAAGCATTTCAGTAAATATAGAAAAATCCAAAATACTTCTTCACAGATGCGAAATCAAAAGCAAAAACCACTGCCAGTATTGGACCTATTCATACAAGAGAAGGTTCATACATGGTGGTTCATACATTTCTTACAAAGAAATTAGTGAAATCCTAAAAAAGCAGTATGAGGACATGTTTAGCACTCCAATAAACATGAAAGTGAAAGATCCAGACAATTTCTTTATGCGTGATATCCAAACCCCTGTAAATATTACTGATATCAACATGATCATACTAGATTTTGAAAGAGAAATTGAAAACAGGCCCATGCACTCGGCCCCAGGTCCAGACTCATGGAATTCAATATTTACAAAGAAATGCAAGGTGCCAGTAGCACAGGCACTCAGTATAGTGTGGAGGAAGAGCTTGGACACAGGAACATACCAGATGCACTTAAAGTAGCAGACATAGCCCCCTCTACACAAGGGAGGGAGCAAAGCATTGGCAAAGAATTATAGACCAGTTGCACTAATGTCCCACATAATAAAAGTATTTGAGAGAGTGATTAGGAGTCAGGTCACCAATTTCATGGAGACCAGTGACCTTAACAACCCAGGCCAACATGGATTTCGAGCGGGAAGATCATGCCTCTCACAGCTACTTGATCACTATGACAAAGTCACTGAGGCATTAGAAGAAAAACAAAATGCTGATGTATTATACAGGGACTTTTCAAAGGCTTTCGATAAATGTGACCATGGAGTGATAGCACACAAAATGAGGTCAATGGGAATAACCGGTAAAGTAAGACGCTGGATACTCGGTTTTCTGTCAAACAGGACTCAACGAGTAACAATCATATAAAATCAAGTCAAAGCACAGTTAAAAGCTCTGTACCTCAGGGTACAGTCCTTGCACCACTGCTTTTCCCTATTCTCATATCAGATATAGATAAAAATACAAGTCACAGCTTCGTATCATCCTTTGCAGATGACACAAAAATCAGCATGAAAATTACCTTGGCTGAAGACAATGAAAAACTTCAAGCAGATATTAATAAATTTTCGACTGGGCAAGAGAAAATAACATGATGTTTAACAGTGATAAATTCTAGGTACTCAGGTATGATAAAAATGAGGACATAAAGGGTACAAAACACAATTAAATGTGCCCATAGTAGGAAAGCAGCATGTAAAGGATTTGGGAATAATGATGTTGACGACCTAACGTTTAGGGAGCATAACCAAGCAAATATTGCGTCAGCCAGAAAAATGATTAGATGGATTACAAAAACTTTCAAATCCAGGGATCCCATCACAATGGTTGTACTATTCAAATCACTTGTACTGTCCCGTCTCAAGTACTGCTCAGTACTCACTTCCCCCTTCAGAGCAGGAGAGATTGCTGAAATAGAGGGAATTCAGAGAACTTATACGGCATACATAGATGCAATAAAGCACCTAAATTATTGGGATCGTCTCAAAGCTCTCCAAATGTACTCACTAGAAAAATGATGAGAGAGATATCAAATAATATATGCGTGGAAGATACTGGAGGGCCAAGTACCAAATCTACACAGTAAAATAACAACATACTGGAGTGAACGATATGGAAAAATGCAGAATAGAACCAGTGAAGAGCAGGGGTGCCATAGGCACAATCTGAGAACACTGTATAAACATCAGAGGTCCATGGTTGTTCAACACCTTCCCAGCGCGCATAAGAAATATTGCCGGAACAACCGTGGACATCTTCAAGAGGAAACTAGATTGTTTCCTCCAAGGAGTGCTGGACCAACCAGGCTGTGGTGGGTATGTGAGCCTGCGGGCCGCTCCAAGCAAGAGCCTAGTGGACCAAACTCTCACAAGTCAAACCTGGCCTCGGGCCGGGCTTGGGGAGTAGAAGAACTCCCAGAACCCCATCAACCAGGTAACCAGGTATGCAGATAGAGATAATGGTGGGTGCTCTGCCACACCTCACTGCCTCTTGTGCCATGGCCCTCACAAGGTCATGTTCAAGACTTGCCTGGTATACCTTGAGGCCTTCCAGTTAGACATCATTCATAAAGCAGTGGGAACCCTTCGACAAGAGTTGTTCGAGAGATTGCTATCTCTATTTAGTAATAGATCACCCTCAATCAGCCTACCATTTCTTCTTGCCTCCTGTTTCCCTGTCACCCTCAATCAGCCTACCATTTCTTCTTGCCTCCTATTTCCCTCTGGTCTGGTGTCTCTTAAGGTAAGGTCTAGCAGACACTCTTACCTATCCTGGACACATGCCTCATATGCCCAGGCTGCTAATCAATTTTCCCTCCTGGTAATATTGACGAAACCTCCACCATGGATACAGACATTATCGCTCAGTCCTGGCCAGAGCCTGACACTCATCTCCCTCCCGACTCGCTCCAGAGAACCCAGCACCGACGTCGTCAATACACCCATCAATCGGGAAGTTCTTCTCCATTGGATAGTCCTGATGATCCTCTGGTCCCTCAGGTGCCTTCCCAGGGGATTTTGACACCAGTAGAACATGAGGCCCAGAGTGAAGCACCCTCCAGTCGCAGGCCCTGGCAAGAGGGTTCGTGAGCCGATTGATGGTTCCATCAGGCAGAGAGAAACTCTGCTCAACAGCCTTTGGACTGGCTGTCATTGATACCCCACATTTTGCTTACTTTGTATTAGGGGGTTTTATGGCCTTTTCTCGTTTGGAGGTGTCTGTTCACAGCTGGTGAGAAAGTTAGTTGTTGTATTTCAAGGATAATGATGCTCCATCCTGAGAATACTGTG